CCCTTCTGGCACGAATTTCCGAATCTGTATGCCCAGACAACTGCCTTGGCGGACCGCTACGTCGCTGATGTGTGATAGAGGACGCGTCGGACTCGTATCGAAGCCAGGATCTCAGCACGAACACACAATAATCGATTCGGATCACCCTATACGTTTATCATGAGATGTTAGCTTCGATACGAGATCTTCGTATCTACACCGAGTTGTTGTGACAAAAGGAACAATGATTAGCACGTTAATGAAGGCTTTCTTACAGAATAGCGTAGTAGTTGCCAGCGAGACAGTTGTAATTCTTTACAGATTTTGTGACGGTTATGAGGAAAAGCAGATCACGTGTTGGTGGTCCGGTGCTGCTTCCTCACTTTATTGAGCACCTCTTACCTCAGCTGGATCATAGATAGGTCATGTAAACAGACCCTGCTGCTGCCTTCGTAAAAAGGCGAGCAGACACGACAACAACACAACACATACAATATACTCTGATTACTGCCTCGCGCGGTTACACTTTAATTGACTGCATTTACTGTGACAGATTTCTCCGTTGCCAGCAGTGATCTAAATGTGATTAGCGTACCAAGAAACTGTCGACATGAGGATCCGCAACCTAGCAAACTTTCAATATAAGAATCTGCTATCCAGTAAACTGTTTGCATGAGGATCTACTATCCTCCGCCCTTGCCAGGGCTTACCTCGGACACGTTCCTTTGGGATCTGCTGCCCTCCGCCCTTGCTAGGGTTTACCCCAGACACGGTCCTTCTGGAGATATCGTAGCACCGGTGCTCTCGTTAGGCAGATAAAGATCGCTGGGCTGATAAGATGGCTCGCCATGATTGCCGTGGTGGAGTATGTACAACATGAGATATCTCCAGAAATTCCAAGGTGTAGTGTGCGCGTTCGCTCCATAAGCCATAGAGTAGTGAGATGAGTATTATCCGAAAAATCAATGTAGTTGTAATAAGTACGTTGAGAGTCGGTCGGCCTCATCGTTAGCTCGCATAAGTACGATGATCCGAAACGATCATAGTGAGATGAGTATTGCTCCCTAATAAACTCACTCACACTGTGCGCTGGAAATATGGTAGCAACACTAGTGAACTAGTTAGCACCAACTATGGTATATTTCACCCTTGCCGCAAGGTACCCCAAAAAAACTACCGCATCGAAGTAGACGTCTTTCAGATGATTACATTAACGCAGCAAATTTGCCATCGAGGAGAACCACAAGCCTGCACACGTTGCAGGGTGCAGACGACGTGAAAATGCGTCCGCCGAGACATGACATAATGTACGGAGGGTCGGTCACAATACCAAGTCTCAGCACTTTGGCGGCGGGAGATGAGCTCCACGCTAACTAACGTTAGCCATGAGCCAATCTCCTCACGCGATCAGCTTCCCTCGTCGCAAACTCAGTCACCAACCACCATGGACATGTATAACGCCATCGGAACGGCAATATCCTTCTTTAGTCTACTATGGGTGCCTGCTACGCTGCTTTGCTGTATACCCTGGGTGCAGAAACGTTAGACGACCCCTCGTGGCGCAAAATTATGTTGGGGACAAATGCTGACTGACAGCCGCAGAAATGCTGTATCTCCATAACATGACATTTTTCCCGGGCAAATGGCTGACTGAGCCTGAAAGAGCTGGCTTTCTTAGTGCGTCTAAACATCGTCTTGCGATACCGAACAGCAGGATGCCGTGAAGTTTTCACAACATACTTATGAGAGCAGAGAATCAAGTCGTACCATTTCGCATCACGACGAAAGATCAAAAGCGGCTGTTCGCATGGCTTGTTGCCCCTCTGGGGGTATATGCCAAGAACTCCGATGCGTTTATTCGGGAAATAACAGGTACCGATATAGAAGATTCGGTTGCGTGGAGCTCGTTGCGCAACGATGGAGAGGCAAGACTAGTCATATATTTCCACGGCAACTCTGCGACATTGGCCCAAGAACGCCGCACGATAGAATATCGCTCGTTTTCTGCAGGAGCCTCGGAGAGTATGTATGTTTTGGCCTTTGACTATCGCGGCTTCGGTCTCTCAGAGGGAGAGCCTTCGGAATCCGGTCTGCTTGACGACGCCGAGGCAGTTGTAGATTGGGCTCTGAACGTTTCCCGCATACCGCCTGAGCGGATTGTGCTCCTGGGACACTCGTTAGGGACAGCTGTCGTATCCGGTGTAGCACATCGCTATGCGACGACTCTGGGTATCGAGTTTGCAGGTCTTATTCTCTGCGCGGCATTTACAAACGCCGGCAACGCATTCTCATCCTACTCAATAGGCGGTGTGATTCCCGTGCTCGCTCCGGTCAAGCTATTTCCAGCTTTCCAGGCTTGGTTCGCGCGTAGAATGGTAGACACATGGCATAGCGACAACCGACTGGCTACACTGGCGCGTAAGTTTGCCCCAATTTTGTTTAGTTAAGCCAGGCCCCAATCTCGCCGGCCAATTCACAGCCCCACGGTGGTTAATCTGGCCAAATGCCAAATGCCCATTGACCGGTATATGTATTAATCATTCGAGCAGGTACTTGCTCAAGGTTCAAGCTAGTCCTTGTTCATGCCCAAAGCGACTCGACAATGCCGTGGCACGAGACGGAAGCGCTGTTCCAATCTACGCTGCGCGCCGCAAAAGACACAAGTCCGGGCAACGACAGCGACGGCGACGGCGACTTGAAAGACATTGAAGTAGTTGACCTGGGCGAGGCTGGTAGGCAGGAAATATGGCGCAGCAACTCGTGTAGTATATCCAAGACGATTGCGAAGCATGGCGGTACGTACCTCAATTTAATCGTCCGACTCGCTGTGTTGCTGCGAAGGATGCCATGTTTCGGCTATAGTTAGAGCGGATCGGCCCACACCCGTCTAACGTGTCCGACACACTCTGCTGTTCTCACCCTTCATTTCTGACGACAAGCTCTGTGTGGTTCAAAACAGGAATGCCGAAGCCAATCGTGTAGCCTTTTTTTTTGCTGAGATCTTGTTTTTGCAAGATGCAGACCCTTCCCCACACATGGCGCATCTCTGGCAGGGCTTGATGGGCCAGCCATGCGGTCATGGACCGACTCTTCCGACTGGGCTAGTTGAAACAAGGCTAACGCTTCACATTAGGGCACAACACGTCAATGACATGGGCGCCTGTAGCGCTCACTGTCCTCCAGGTGTTCAGGCTCGCGGTTGATACGGCACGAGCGTAGCGCCGTGTCAAAGGATACCTCAGCCACACCATGGTCGATCCCGGGCCCCTGTTTTCTGTAACTACAATGAAGCCAGGGTACGTACCACGAGAAGTGTGAATAGAATAATGAGGTATGTCGGCGATGATGATGATGGAATCATCGACTACAGTACTTGCTTTACGTAGACCAAGAGTAGACCAACAAGGTAGCGCCTCTTTAGTACAACAACGCCACGGCAGTCTCGGCATGGCGACCATGTGCGTCACGTAGATTCTCGATAACCCATGACGTCCCAAAAGAGTGGCTCCATTGAGACCCGCATACAAAGCCGCCTCAATCTCTGCTTTGTGTTTCAGCAAGGCACGCCTTGTCCCAGACCCGTTCACTCCGTCGGTTCCTTCACAACGTCGGCGCATCGCATCGCATCACCTACTTCCCTGTCCGCTTTAGATAATTTGCATGTTTTTTTTCCTCGCCCACATTATTCAACCAGCATTGATATAATCAAAGCGAGATAACCAAACCCGTCACAAAACTGTTTATTCAAGTTACTCGCCCAGGACCCCCACAACCAAATCTCAACCCTCACCCTCCAAACATCATGCCCGCCATCGCCGCACACCTCCAAGCACGTTTCCTCGAAGACTCTGGCAGCGGCGGAGTCTCAGGCACCGCCATCGCACTCATCATCTTCCTTGGGATCCTGCCCGTCATTGTGCTATTCTGGGCCGTTTGTTTCCTCTTCTGGGCCTATCCGAATGATCGCAATTGGTGTTGCATGAGGCGCAAGCGTCGTCCGGAGCCGGAAAGTTTTCTGACGCAGACACCTATGCCAGCGCCGCCTTTGAATGAGAAGGACATGACGCTTCCTCAACGACCATCTTCTGTGCAGTTCCGAATAGAGTCTGGAAGCAGCAATACTGGACGTCTTCAGAAACATCAGAGACAGGGCAGCTGGGAGAACAGGCAGGCTAGGGCGAGCATGCAGAGCTTTGGAAGTGGGAACGGGGGGATGGTGCAAGAACCGAAGCCTTTTGTGTGAGGCTTGAGGGGAAGGAAATCAAACACCCGATACGCTCTCGATTGCGAGATACGACGACGACTCTAGAGTTGACCGACCATGCAACTCTATGGCCCTTTGGTCAGGACGACCATTATGAGCGCCGCCACCAGTACAACGGAGCTGGCATCCAATGTCGAGCAAGTCTCCATACTGGAACACAAACGACCTGTAAAGAAATGGCGCCAATCCATACCAGGGACGCGATTCTGTGCGCTGCTGCAAGACAAGACGGCAGAAACGGCATGCTCCCTTTTGTGCGTGGAGCATAAAGGCGATGCGAGGATGTGATGCGGGACGACAATCGCGACAGGCTCAGCGAACATGACAACATAGTTGTTCTCAACAACCCGCTACTTGAATGCGGGACATTTGTATAGAGGCTGGAGTACTCTTCAGTAGGATACGAAGTTACGACACAGCCAATGATATCCCTACCACCTAAACTTGCCTAAACCGTGCAGACCGGAAGTGCATGTAGAATGTGCCGTGCCCATGACACAATTGGACCATGTGAGTGACAAAGTGAATGGAGGACGTCATATATACCTAGATAGTGTCATGTGTTGAGTGAGGCCGATTGGTGTTGTCGGCGGATTATGCAGGTCGCGACGCATGTTCATGTGAGGCTCACGGGATCGAGGATTGATGTGCCCATGACCCCGGTAGTGGGGTTTGTGAATGCGATACTTGAAAGAACGGGAAGACGGCATGATGTTTAACACAAATCTGATGCCAATCGCATCTCACCCAACACTCCAACAAACCCACGACGTGATACGGCATCGGTGTGATTATTGGGCCGGCGGTGGACGTAGAGTTCGGAGTTCCGTGGTCGCTAACTCCGCATCGCAATCACAATCGCGTCCTTCCGCCACCCGGATCTCGTCCAGCGGCTGCTGCCTACGTCAGCATCTTGTATCAGAAAAAAAAAACATCGTCGCAGGCGGCGCCTCCAGGCGCTCTGCGACATTGACAAAATACCGCCACAATACCTCCTCTACAACTTTTCTCACGGTCGTCGCCGGCATTGTTTTCGCAGACCTTGTCGTCATCGTTTCCGCGGCTGCGAATGCTACGGAGTCACTTGACACGACCAAGCGCTCGACGTATCATCCACAAGAGCGTTGGGTTTGGCGGCGCCAGTTACATCAGCCTGAGTCTCAGTACCCCGATCCGCATCGAGAGTAAATCGAATTCGACAATGGCTGGCCAGGGCAGTGAGGAGGCAGGGCAAGGGGGAGGACAGCAGAGCATGCTCGCGAGTCAACGCGCAAAAGAGCAGGGTGAGGCCACGGGGCGCTTCTCCAAGTGGTTTCCTCTATCCGCCAAGTCGGGATTCGATCAATGGTGGGCTGGACTCTCGCCCATGGCAACGGAGCATCGCGTTCTCTCTTTTATACCCCATCTCCAGAGCCCACCTACGCATACGCAGACGGGCGCATCCGCCGCTCCTTCGTCCACCGATCTCAACGCGCCCCCGAAACATTCCGAAGACCAGACGACGACTAACGCCACAAATGACCCGTACGGCCCGCGGCGATGGAACTCACAGATGGTGGAGCTGAGTGGC